CTGTGTGTGTGTGTGTGTATATGTATATATATATATGTATGTATCTAGCTCACACCTCTACATCGCTCACTCACTCACACGCGCGCGCTCGCTCACACTCTCTCGCTCGCTCTCTCGCGCGCGCGCGCGCGCGCGCGCGCGCGCGCGCGCGCGCGCGCGCGTGTGTATATATATATATATATATATATATATATATATATATATATATATATATATATATATATATATATATATATATATATAGGCAGCTCGCGAGCTGTCAAACAACTAGATTTGGGCTCGAGCTCGAGCTCGCCTGAAGCTCGAGCTCGAAAAACCCGAGCTCGAGTTCGAGCTTTTGTCGAGCCGACTCGACTCGTTTACCACCCTTAGTTGTGAGTATTGTTCATTGATTCATCCATATATTTTTTATCTGACATTAAATCTTGACGATTCAAGTCGCACTAAAAAGCTAACTCAACGAACTACAAATATTGTATTTTGAGTTTTTCCAAATCCAGCCTCTAAAATATTAAACTCAAGTTTAAAGTATTAAAATTAAAACGGTATTATGAAAATTGAAACAATATTTATTTGAAATAATATCCATTAAATGATATCTTTTAATCCGATGCAATATAATTGCAGTAAATTTAATGTCAACTATATATGTCATTTAATAACAATTACTTTAGAGCACATGCATATATTGACATATTCAATATTCAAAGACTCGAGCATTGACTATATTTGACCATGAAAAAGTGCAGTAGGATATGATACAGCTTGAAGCTAGCTGGAGCATTCATACGTAATTATTTTCTTTTAATTTATTATATCATATATATCATAAATACAAACTAGTCAAAGCATTGAAGCAAAATATTAAATTAAACACTACTTACTAATCTACTATAACCACACACACACACCATACAACGAAATAAACGAAAAAAATAAATAAATAATTAATTAATAGAAACGCAAACTGTGAAAATATCAGTCGGAGGCGGCGTTGGTCTGACCGCCGCGCCCACCACTTATGGGCGGCGGCGGAGGCCTCCTTCCCAACCGTAACTGGTCCAGCAGTGGATCAGTCGGAGCGTCCCCCCGGCGGCGGTTGACAGCGGCGGATCTGCAGGCTGCTGCTCCGATACCGACAAAAACTGAGTCGTCGTGGTACCAGATTCGAAACCCAAACACCTGATCATAGCCCTAAAAAAATCCTGAAAATAATTGCATGGATTGTGAAGAGAAAAGTGGGGTTTCTCCGCCATTTATTTTTCTGCTTAGAATATTCTCAGTTCTTCTCTCTCTTTAATGTTGGGTGGTTGGAGTTGGAGACCCGAGTCATCAGCTTAAATGGACTCAGCTTTCAAATTTTAAAAGCAAATAAATATTAATTACAAGTTTATCTAATTTCTGCTTATACTAATTTTACCTAAAATGCAGCTAATCACCTGCCATACGTCTTCTTTATATTAAGTAACACATATGAATTTATTGCACATTTAATTACTCAAACCTACCAACTTTCTTCCAAGAATATATATCTGTGGGCGGTGGGTTGTAATTTTGAAAATATAAATAAAAATTAATAATAATAAATATAAAGAACACGCATTTTCTCTACATTAATTCGTTACTGATTTTCATAAATTATTATTAAAAAATATTATTTAATTACTGATAAATAAGGTTATGCATGGTAAATATTATCTTCTAATTTTAAATTTTATGTTTTATTTGAACGTCATTAATTAATTAGGTTGATGATTTATTTTTATTTTCATGGGGATGAAGGTTATTAATTATAAATTTATAATCATTGTGGGATTTAGAAAAGAAAGAAAGCAGAATTAAATATTGTGCTTCCCTCATGCACTCATCATTAAACTTTTGAAGACCAGTCAACAAAATTATTCTTTTCCAAATAGAAAAAGACTGCGACATATCACCACAATCCACGTGCAAAAAAACAGAATTGGGCTTCTTTCAAAGCCCAAATTTAATTTCACTTTCAACCCCGGATTTTAGCCCATTAGATTTTATAAGGAAAAGTAATATATACATATATATTATAATTATAATTAATAAAAATAACAAAAAATGAGCAACCAATCTCAATTGGCGGTGGTACCAATTGGTGTCAAACACTCAGGTTATGTTTGTTAAGCTTTTCAAATTCTTTCCACATTTTCCCCAAAATGAAAATTATCTTTCCACACTATTTTCAAAAACTTTCCCCAAAACAAATTCAAATATTTCTCTCTCTAACAAACATGATTTGACCGCTACAGTGAAAATTGTCTTCACTAAAATACAAAATCAAATCACTTTATCTTTTAAATTCTTCTTCCAAAATACCTTTTTCCAACACCTTTCAGACATGATTTGACTTGCTACAGTACAAATTGTCTCCTCCCAAAACACAAACAAACTTTATTTAATTTTCAAATTCTTCTCCCAAAACATCTTTCCCCAAAATAAAATGGAAATGGAAGCCCAAAAGCTTACCAAACACAACCTCAGCTTTAGGACACAACTCACCTCACTCAACTCATAACTCACTTACTCACTCCCAACTCGCTCGTATCGTTTTCGCCAGCTCACAACACAAGTATTTCTCTCATAAACGTACTCAGATTTTTCCTTCACTGAAAGTGTATCTTTCGTTCACATAAGAATGGAGATTTAAAACATAGGAAAGTAATTAATCTGTGTGTTAACCCCTCGTTCTATAGTACTATTTATAGAGAGCACATACACGAGTCATTAATAGAAAATCCACCTCAGAGTAAAGGTCAATCATAGTAGGTGACGTTTGACTCAAAAGTTATTAGAATAAGATAAATAGAGAGGAAGAAGGACAAAAGTTGTATATGGAGAGAAAATTACACAACGGTATAAATTCAACTAGATTTAGAACAAATAAAGACGTCATACCTAATAAAATCGATGAGATGGAAAATGGGCGTTTAAAATGAAAGTCCAACAGCTTATCCATTTAAATTGGTCTTGAGTAAGTGAATTGACACCAAGATTGGGTTGACTCAAGTGAATTTGAAATTGGGCCCGAACCCGAAATGAATAAACCATTTGGGCCCAATTACTCACATAGTAACAATAATAAAACTAAAATATATAAATGAATAGATACAAAATACAATCGAAATACACCATAAGAATTAAGACAAATGCAAAAGGACAATGCTATTCCAATAATATTTTTCTCCAATTTAATTTTCTCACATACATCAAAAGTTATTGTGTGTGTGAATCTCACTAACATTTATATGACAAAGACTAGCACAAAATGTCCCTCGACTATTTGATTAAAGTTGGTTAGACTTTGTCTATAGCTATATATATTTCATTGTAAAACGACAGATTATTAGGACCATCCATCAATAATAACATAACAGGGCAACCAACGGTTGTCTTAACAGTTGGTCCAATTGCTAAAATTATCTAGTAAGGTTAAACTAATATTAATCTC